TTTTTTTTTTTTTTTTTGCCACATATTTTTATATTTTTTTAAAAAAATAACCCACCCACTAGATATGCGTACTTTTTTTTAATAAATATTCATATTTTTGTTAGAAAATAAAATATTGTAAAAAATAAAATAAATATAAATATGATATTTAAGTGTATACTTTCATTCACACAGTATGACGAGTTGGTCATACTTTCATTCTCGCCTAATTGTTAGATTGTTACACACAATAATTTGTCCTCTTTAATTTGCTTTTGTTGTCTATTTCCTCTTAATAATTTCTACATCACCACTAGATCTGATAAACAAAATGAGATGCTTGCGAGTTTGACTCATATAAGCATGTTAAGGTCGATTGGCTAACAAGCTTGAATCAGCTTGACTTAATAAGGCTCGCTAAGATTCGAAAAAAAATATTTTTGTATAATATTTTATAACTCAGCTTATTAAGGCTCGAGTTTAACTCGTAAGTGTGTGTGTGTGTGTGTGTGTGTGAATGTGTGTGTGTGTAATTAATGACAGAGCAATAAATAAAATCTAATTAATAAAACCTCTATAAGTTTCTTGCTTATTTTTTCAATTAATGTAGAATTGTTACATTTTACTTTAAATAAAGTGTAATAATAATCTTAAAGTAATTTGTTTTATAATAGTTACTAGTAATACTAATTAAGTATAAAATTACATTAAAATGTACGTGAAAGTTATATAATTATAAAAAAAATTGAATTGCATTTTTTTTAAGATACTTATTCTAAAATAAATATTATTTTTCGTCCTATTAAGTGATATTTCTCTAATATTAGTTTATTGGCATGAATGTCATAATTAAACTCCTTAAAATTACATAACAATTGTTATAATAATAATAAAAAGAATTGTAATAATTTTCTAACTAATTATGGTCCTTCTAAATTACAAAATTACATTGTTCACCAAAATTTATGTCATCAATATACAGATTCATACGTAAATTAAACAATTTATATTTATTGTAAAAAAAAATTGATATATAATATTTTCATTATGTAATTTAAAATTTTAAATATTATATGCATACATATAATAAAAAAAATTTATTTATACTAGTCTTAATAAACAAACTCAATTCAAGCTTGATATTAATAGTGGCCCATGCAAAGGAATTCAAAACGACAAGTCATGACGTCGTAAACCGCAAATTGACGCATGTAACCCCATGCGCCAAAGGCTCCAACCGCAATCGGTTGCTCCAGATATGTACGACTACAATTCCCAAGAAACCCCACGCCTGGCTTCCTTTTTCTCTCTCAAAACGCTATAAATCCACATTCAATTCTATGTTGAAAAGAACAATCTTTTCTTTATCAGGAGAAAAAAAAACTGTAAAAAAAACCCGGAAAAAAGGAGCTGAATTTCTGAAAGTGCCATTAATGGCGGGCGCTGATGCAGGGACGAGCTCTGGCAATTTCAATTTCTTGATTGTGAGCCACGAAAATGGTGGGATTTGGGATTTGTTCAAGTTCTTGGTGTGTAATGATCAAGAAAGTGGTGGGAAGTTTCTGGAGAGCCACCATGGCAATGGGATGATGTTAGAAGAAAAGCTTGCAGGAGACGAAAATGGTGGGGAGGTGGGGCCCGACCACAGGTGGGTGATAGTTGTTTCTATCATCATGAGGAAAATTATTAAGGTTTTGGGTAAGCCCATGGAGGTTTTTGGTCGTCTTGTGGAGTTTATGCTGAATCTTTTGTCTCTCAATGGGGATTTTCTTGGTTTGCTGTCCAGATTCATCCATGGTATGTTGCTCAGCTCAGCTCAAAACTCTCTCTATTTTATCCCATATATGTTGGCATTTTCTTGGAAGTTTTGAAGAATGAGGTTGTTTATGAGTTTGGTTCACTAATGGGTAATGGCTGGCTTTGCTGATGAGGAAATTACAGATTGATTACAAATGGTGTTTGTACAAGTTTGAGTTCTGCTTTGATGCACATCAAGTGTTTGTTAATAAGCAAATGCCAAATGAGATGTTCGTAGTATTCGTTGCAAATTTAGTTTTTGTTTCCTCCTTTTCGTATTGCTAATCTTCGCTTCATGATGGAATGATTGGATTTAGTTTCTTATTGATCTATCCGATCATTTAGCAGTTAAGCGTGTGATATAACCGAGTTCAACTGTTTGTATTTTGATAGTGAGATTAAGTTGAAATTCTACTGTGCGCCTATGTAGTAATGCTCGGTTTGA